GAGCAGAGACTCGCAGAGGAGCAAGCTAGGCTCGCGGAAGAAGAGGCGAGACTCGCTGAAGAGCAGAGACTCGCAGAGGTGCAAGCTAGGCTCGCAGAAGAGGAGCAAATCAGGCTCACGGAGAAAGAGGAGCAAGCTAGGCTCGCGGAGGAAGAGGCAAGACTCGCTGAGGAGCAGAGACTTGCAGACGAGAAGCTTGCAGAAGAGACGATTGCAGAGGGGAAAGTTAAGGCGAGTACTCAGGTTGCAGATAATGCATTGGATGGCAAAGAACGTCGGTCGCCGTTTCCCGAATTGGAAAGCCCTATACTAGGCGCTTCGCATGTTGAACAATCCGTGGGCATCTCAAGTGGTTGGCCACTTCCTGACACGGAGGCCGGTTCCCATACCTCTACCTCTGTGTCCCTGGAAGGTGCAGGCGCAACCCAGCCTGTTTCGCCATTATCTATTCATGAGCCTATAATGATCGAAAGAGTTACGCCGCAATTGGTCGATCAACAATCTCTGTCGTCGCCCAATGCCCACCGGAGCACCGAGCCTCCAACACCACCAATCCAGGATTCTCCTCGCTTCGAAGATAGCAAGAGTACTGGTCTTGTTGCCAGCTTGCGAAGCTCTCTCCTCGGAAAACCCCCTTTGCCTCCGAAAACCGCACCGTTGCCATCCACCCCTGTGAGGAACGCCCCGACTCACTTTTCGTCACCTTCCCCTTCGCCCTTGAGAACCAGTTTTAAGGAGAACCTGGGCTCAACATCACCCGCACCGTACCAAAAGCCCGCATCCTACTTTGCTGCTGTAGGGATCAAAGGTGCTCCTTCTAGAGACAAAGCCCTACCTTCACCCCCGGTTCCTCCCAAGAGTTCTCGAGCCTCCGTCGATCGATTCTCCTCGCCACGATCATCAGCTTCGCTTGTCCCTTTGGCTGACGAATCATGGGAAGCAATTTCCACTTTCTTCAGGCCCTTACCTAAATCAAGCGATCGCGTGAATGTCGATGCTCAGGTGCTGTTGGGGAAAGGCGGCGACGAAACGAAAATCAGAACCCTCAAACGCCAGATATGGGAGATCACAGGTGATGGAAAGAAGCAAGATCTTCCCGTCAATCAAGAGTATATTCTGTACGAGGGAAGCATGTACTTGTGCGTGCATATGTTTGAGGCAGACGGCAACGTGCGTTCTGAGATCCACCTCTGGTGTGGTGATGACGTTCCCGATGCGGCTATCGACGATGCCCAGCCCTTCTCTCGACGAATGGCGAAGGAAAATGGATGCAAACTCGAAATTATTAAGCAAGGCAAGGAGCCAGCGCGGTTCATTCAGGCTCTAGGTGGCATTCTCATCACGCGTCGTGGTTCTAGCTCACGATCCAGTTCCTCTGCTATTTTCATGCTCTGCGGACGGAAGCACCTAGGACAGATGGTGTTCGATGAAGTGAACTTCTCGCCTAGTAGCCTTTGCTCCGGCTATCCTTTCGTGATCTCCGCTATGTTCGGCAAGTTGTTTCTTTGGAAAGGACTCGGCAGCTCGGCAGAAGAAATTGGTGCTGCGCGCTTGATTGGGATGGATCTCGGCCTCACGGGTGAATTCGAGGAAGTAGGTGAAGGAGAAGAGCCAGAGAGCTTCTTTGAAGTCTTCCCGCAGTACGAAAGGACGGCAGATGAGAAGGGCGCCAATGACTGGCGACTGAAGCCCAAGCTTGACCGGTATCGCACGCGACTGCTTCGTGTGGACCATGAGCTTGGTCAGCAGCGGGCTGGATTCTGGATGCGTCGAGCCGGTTCACCCTCCCCAATTACTCGTCCAAACGATACCGTGCAAGAGGTGGATCCATTTTGTCAGAAGGACATCAATGCCAAAGGGATCTACGTCCTTGACACCTACTTTGAGATTTATGTGTAAGTTGCCTCCGGGATCCGAACGACTCGAGGTCGCACGCTAAACATATGTTGACAGGATTGTGGGTGAACAAGCCTCAGCCCGCGCAGCTGAATTCGCTTCAGCGGTCTATTTTGCGCATGAATACAGCATCCTAGCGGCCTCTTTCCAAGATCGACCATTCATCCCGAAAACCTTCGTCTCCCTCGGCGGAGTTCCCGAGAGCTGTAGCAGTGTATTCCGCAAGTGTAACACGAGCTCGTGGCAAAGTATTCCGCAAGTGCTCCCTTTGAACGCGGCAATCGAGGCGCTTCGCAACCCCTGAATTCTGACCACCTTTCCTTTCCTTCCGATATTCTCAAGAGCATCATACCCTGATTTGTCTTCGGTATCTCTCTTTCTTCTGTTTCTCTTCCTTTCTTTTCGTTTTGTCTGTCGTTGATTATAGCGTCTTTGCATTTAGATCGTGCATATACTGGTCCGCACCAGAATGGTTCCTGGCAACAAGGTTTGAGGGGGAAGTGATGGAGGTGTGAACATAGAAAGTCTGGACAGTGGAGTGAAAAGGCGACCTTTTTTATGGCAAGTGTGTATGTGTCAGTGTACAGTATTAGGTTTAGGTTCAAGTTTTCAAACCAGCTTGGCATTATCAGAAGACTGCGTGCTTACTGGTTACTGAGAGAGGATCATGAGGCTTGCTTGGATGCATCTATGGTAATCCTATTCAACTAAGAGAAGAGTGTATATCAAACATATTCAATTCCAGAGAATGCGGAAGAACAGCAATCAAGTGTCAGAAGACGATTACAGTAAGCTAGTTGACTTAGTTCTTAGTTACCTTCAAAGATAAAGATAAGAAAGTTGTGATGGGCAATCGACCCACCGCGGCTCGTCATCGGCCGTTAATTTCCACCCCGCGCGCTCATTTAATTTTCGCCCCTCAGTGTCGCGCTGATTTCACCTCCATCTTTCTCCGCTCACTCACTCACACTCTCATTCTTCACTCTCTTCATTGTTGTGAGAGAATTGAGCGTCTCTCTGTATAGGTCAGTATGCCTTGATTGAGCCTCAATCGGACAGAATAACCACCGTCAACACCATCACCACCATGGACCCCGCTATCCTTCACAAACTTTCGCAGCTCGATCCCGCCGTGCCCTTTCGCGCCACCACCGATCATTTGCATCACACCTGGGCCAGGACATTCTATTCCCGACCGGAGCTCTACGTCCGTCCGCAATCTTTGGCTGAGATCCAGAAACTCGTCACCCTTGCCCGTCACTGTCGCCGTCGTCTTGTCACCGTTGGTAGTGGCCACTCCCCTTCGGATCTGACTTGCACCTCCTCCTGGCTGGTCAACCTCGATGATTTCAGTCGCGTGTTGGAGGTGTCGCCTGAGACCGGCGTGGTCACCGTGCAGGCTGGAATACGCTTGAGGGACCTAGGAAAGCAGTTAGAGAAGCATGGCCTCACCTTGTCGAATCTGGGTAGCATCGATAGTCAGTCGATTGCGGGAGTCATTTCGACGGGCACACATGGGAGCTCCTTACAGCATGGTCTGATCTCGGAATGCATTGTGTCCCTGACACTCATGCTGGCTAATGGGCAAGTGGTGCGATGCAGTCCAACGAATAATCCCGACCTCTTCCGCGCCGCCCTTATCTCCCTCGGTGCCCTGGGCATCATTGTCGAGGTCACGTTACAAGCTGAGCCCACCTTCAAGGTCGCATGGCGACAGTCCCGCCGGAAGCTTTCGAGCGTTCTGGATGAATGGTCGACTGGACTGTGGACCACGCATGAGTTCGTACGGGTCTGGTGGATGCCGTATGAGAAGAGCGCGGTCGTTTGGCATGCAGACAAGACCGATCTTCCGGTGCGTCCTCCACCGAAGACGTTTTATGGGGAAACCGTCGGTTACCACATTTATCACAACCTGCTGGCCCTGGCCAATTACTTCCCTCGCATCCTGCCATGGGTCGAGTGGTTTGTCTTCGGCCTGCAGTATGGATTCAAGGAAGAAACCAAGGTCACGGAAGCCGTGGAGCCGGCCCGCGACGGTCTGCTCATGAATTGTCTCTACTCGCAGTTCGTTAACGAATGGGCTCTTCCCTTGGAGAAGGGACCGGAGGCTATCACCCGGCTTTCTGCTTGGCTAAACGGCGATGCTGAAACGGCACGTATTCCATTCTCTGTCGACGGACTCTGGGTGCATTGTCCGATCGAAGTCAGAGTTGCCGACTCTACACTCAATAAGAACCCCCGCCCATTCCTTGATCCTAGTTGCTCTGAAGGTCCGACCTTGTATCTTAATGCGACTCTCTATCGTCCTTATCATCGGGACCCCCCCTGCACGGCTCGCTACTACGAGGCTTTTGAATGGCTCATGCGTGAGATGGGAGCCAGACCGCACTGGGCCAAGAACTTCGTCGCAACGCGCGATGAACTAAGGCAGCTGTACGGTGGCGGCATGGACGAATGGATGAAGGTGCGCCAAGATGTTGACCCGGATGGAATGTTTCTGGGCGAGTGGCACCATCGCAATCTGAACTTGTCCGTTGGTGAGTCAACTGCTACGGAAGAAAGCCTCCCTCTTCTCGAACGGGAGAAGGCTCGTCGGAAGGCAGGTGTCCGCGGGGCGGGCGACGGCTTGGAGTGGATTGGTGACAAGAGTTGGCAAACGAAGCACGCAGGTGTATCCTTGTCCTTGCTCGAAAAGGAAAAGTCCTTTGCTTCGGTCGAAAGCACGGGTCTGAGTCCTCCCACAACCGCAGCCAGTGATGAGAGCTTCGACCTTCTTGCAACCGGTGAGGCTAGCATTGTTCTTCCTGATCGCCACTCGTGATCATCAATAAAGTAAAGACAATGAGATGGTGAGGAGCAAACACCTGAGCGCGGTAGTATGCGAAGTAGTAGGTTGTCATGGGTGGTGGGACAAAATGAGTAAGCCAATGGATCTTGTTGGCCGGTGATTATCTTTGACAATCCATGTACTTTTCAATGTATATTCTTTCCATTGATTTCTTCCACCTCCCAGATATTTGATGTGTTACAGAGGACGCATGGTCACTTTTCAGGCCTGGTTTTGACTGATCGAGTACAATGCCATGCATCTTCACCTCATCGACTCTTCCTCTGATTAGCTGCTCCTTGTGTGCTACATCCCGAGTATGAGCTGGCATGCGGTGAATGACAATGGACTTTGAGGGTGCGTTCCATCTCTCGTTCACTTGCTCATTGGGCTCAACTGAAAGAGTTTTTGGGGTAATGGGACTCCGTCGCGAGTATCCGGGTCTCATCGGAGCGGCTGATCCTCCTCGTCGACTATCGACATTGTTTACTCCCTGGTAGGATGACCCTGGATTACTTGAAAGGTCATCGGCTCCTTTACTTCTGTGGTATAACGCCGGGTCGCGTAGCGGTGTTCGAGCCAACATAGTCCACGCTCGGTGCGCGAGGGTCGTCCAGCAATGACGATTTTGAGGGCGGGTGCGTTTTTAGGCTATGTATACGCCCAAAGGATGGGTCAAGCTCTTCGCGTATAAGGTTGCTTTCAAGGCGGGAGACCTCCTCTACCTTGGGAATAATTGTCGGCATCCAAGACGTCAGTCAGCACTAACTACTCCTCCCCGCCAACCGCTAACTAGTGGCATTTGCTTGCTTCTGCTGGGAATCTTACTCGATCTGGAGAGGCGCAAGGTCATCAATTCCTGCTCTTTCATTTTCTGCGAAACAAGGCTTGGCCCGTCTTTTCCAGGAGCGCAAAGAAATGTGATCATGCTAGGTTATGCCATGCAATGCAGGTGATACCAGGATAGGGCTTCTGACAAGTAGTGACTAGAATGAATGAATGGAGCGAGATGTACAGTGTACAGTACAGTATAGGCCGCTGTTTCCATTGTCCTAAAGATCATCATGAGACCTGGTCGGTATGGTGCCCGTTCGGGTTCCCTTTGGGGAGGTGAAAAGAGAATTGAGCGTATTGATGCTCGGACTCTCCGAGCTCAGTATCAGCTTTAGTTGTTGGCAGGCAGTGGAGCTGGAGCCCCCGCGGCCGCGGGCACCTCACTTGGGCACTGCTGGGACTGGCACCGCACCTGGGGGCGGTGGGGGGCACCTCACGGGCACTGCACTGGCGGGCATAGTCACGTTCCTTCCTAATTGGGCTTTCTCTCTTCTGAATGGATCCATTCTTTTCAATCGCATTTTCTTATCATCTTCATCTTCTTCATCTTCATCTTCATCTTCTTGTTCCTCTTCTTTCGCTACTTTTTCTCATGCTCTAATTTGTCTGATGCTCTTCTTCTCTCCCCCCCCCATTAATCATTCGCCCAATCCTGGCTCTATCCCCGCCCGAAACCATCTGCCTGATTAGAATCCAAGAAGGGCCAGAAATATACCCATGATGAGAATGGCGATTTCCACAATAGAAAGCCGAGCCAGCTCAGTCCATCCCCGACGCTTGACTGCGCCACGAAATTGTGACAGAAGATTATCTCAGTTGCAGCTCAGCATTGTTCAGCGGCCACAGGAAGCGGGTCTGAGATAAAGTATAGTAAAAGGCTTCACTAGACGGACAAAATCGCCGCTTCTTGCAAGTGAGTCACTGAGCGAGTATCTGCAGGGTGGACGGGCCTTTGCTGCACCCAACTCATGCGGTTCGCTCGCACCCACGCAAGATCCTCGAGCCCCTCCCTTCCCCCTCTCACCAAGTGTGGCAAAGAGAGGGGAAATGATCAGTAGCCCGCGACGCAGGTCTCCTTGCCCTATATCACAGAATCACCTCCCGAAAGTTCCTATAATTGATTGTGGTTGGTGGCGGAGGGCGGTTATGATTGAATCCCAGGTTCGAGGAAGCCCAATGTGATGCTCCTGTCTAATCAATCAACCTTGCTGACCATCACAGACGGCAATGCAAGATACAGGTTGAAGGATCGGCAAGGCAAATGCGAGAATGGAACAGACATTCTATTGTAATTCTCTGTGGACCATTTCACTTTTTTCCCTCTTTCTCTTCGCGTTGTCTTGCCTATCGTTTTCCTTCCCGTTTCTTTTCTTTTTTTATCCTTCTTTATTTCTCTTTTCTTTTTCTTTTTGGGTTTTGGCGTCCACCGGAGCAGGTGCACGGAATCCTACGCACAACACTAAGCGCGGTTAACACCTTCTGCGAAACTCGGATTATGCGGTATTTCCTGTAAGACCAGCGAGCCGTGCTCCCCAAATGATGATGATGCAGGCGTACTTGGCCGATGCTCCCTCGATCAATCTTTGCAGCCTCGATGACGAACAATGCTATTGCTACGGTTGGCTCATGCCGGTGCTATTGATCAGCATCACAACATTACATCAGGTGATCACCTGAAGACATGCGCTGCGAGCTCTACTCTTCTTCGTGATTGCTACTGTCTGGCTCTCGCACAACAGCAGTGGCCCTGCCAGGCCTCCGCATTGAGATACGCATAGATACCGAAGGAGTTGACTTTAGAAGTGATACCCCTGCTTTTGTTTAGACAAGCTGCACCACTGCACTTTAAGCTCAAGACGGTTAGCTCTCTTAGAACACATGAGCAGCTTGCAGCATATGCTAGGAAGCGTGCAACGGTACCGACTTTCCCGCGACGCAATCCGAAGGGGTCTAGTGAGGTCCCGCTACGTATCATCACCACTATAGCTCGTCAAGCTGAGCATTCTAGGAAGGCTGGTTGTTTTGACAAGCGCGGGAAAGAGAACAATTCCATTCGAAAATTACGGAAACTCGAAAAAGCAACTGTCAGCCCATACTATTGGGTCGATGCTGCTGGTCACCTTGGCGTAACGCTGAGCCTAGTGCGAGGCACGCGCTCATCAACGACTCGAGAGTAGTCAGAGTGTGTGATGGCGCTGGTCATCCGTGTACCAATGGCAACTATGGAAGTGTTCGAGAGTCGCTCATGAGGCATAAGCTGATGATGCTGAAGGGCTCCAGCCCGCTTGAAACCATTTATTCTACAGCGGCATTGTCTGGCCGTGAGCCGACTCACCGGTAACCGGTTTTAGAGCCTATGTTATGATCGGGCCAAAAAGAAATTTTGAAGAATAGGGAGATAATGTATGACAGCCACGGAAACCGGAGCAAGATGCACGTTTGCGGGTTCAAGCCAGCGGACGAGTTTCCTCCGGCACCAGAAGGTCTTCAAGGCTCCCACGAGAATTACGGGAGAGAGAAAGGGAGAGAGTCAGGTTGAGCCTTGAGGGCTTACCTTACTCTGGCTTTGGCTGCCCAAATGACCAGGGTCTTACCCGGTTAGTGCCGACAAGCGGTGCGGTGGCAGCGATGCGTATCCATCCCGTGGTAGCTCTGACGGCTCGGACCGTCGCCAGGCGTGAATACTGGCTACTGGCTACTGGCTACTGGCTACTGGCGTGTCTCGCGCCAGCGAGTTTTTATCTGGTCACCTGTATCAACTAGCCAAACGGGCAGAAACAAACCCCCCCCAAATTCCCCCGTGGTTGCGGGGGACTCCCTGGTGTACGTACCTGCTAGGCTACCACAGCCACACACAACGGCCTGAAGGACGTCGAGCGACCGGTCCGGTCGATATCGTGACAAGCTGCTTCACCACGTCATCACTGTCCTAGCGATATACGTCCGATTCGGGCGGGGTCGTCATGTCGACATGCGTGCGCGGGGCTGCGTTGGGGTAAGACATGATATCAATAATATTTGATAGATATGTCTCTCAGCCTCTTTGTCCCTTGTCAGGTCCTCGCACCCCCACCTGCTTGTTCCTCTCGAGCGGCAGTCTGACATCCACTACCCCTCCCGGGGCCTCCTCCTCCTCCTCCTTACGCCTTGCTCTCGATTAGTCAGACTTTAGATCAAAGTTCTCATATCAGACCCTTCCTGCCACCTTGATCCTTGGTGGGCGTTCAATTGCATCTCACTCCCCCGTACATGTTTCAACTTTTTCTGGCTTGTTCGATGCAAAGATGTCTCGTCAACCTAGCTTGCGACCCAAGTCTTACATTCCTGGTTATCCAGATGCCATGTATAATCTTGCTGCGGTGACCACCTTGAAACAGCTTGAGTCCCGCGTGGGGTTGGCAGACGAGAAGCATGAGCAGCGTGTTTTTCGAGTCAAGCGCAAGCATGTCTTGAAGGCATGCGATCGTTGCAGAGTCAAGAAGACCAAGGTTTGTGAAGCATTGGTTGTTCCTAGGACCCTGTGTGCATCTTTCTCTACCATAGCACGAGCTTGCGGTCTGCGGTGATACTCATGGGATATTAGTGTGATGGGAAACAGCCATGCAACCGTTGTTCTGCGTACAACCATCCATGTCTCTTTCGGGAGAGGAAGGCTACGCAAACCAAAGTATACTCACGAGGGTCAGTTTCGATCCTTTTCTGCACTAATATGATATCTATCAAGGATCCCAGGACTGACTGGTGGATTGGCACATGTCTAGATTCGTTGAAATGCTCGAGTCGCATCACTCTCTGGTGGTCAAAGCACTTCAGCGGCTTTATAAGCTTTGCGTCAACAAGGAGGACTTCCCTGGGGAGCCACTGCAGGACGCACCCGACGGTTATCCTCTGACGCACGCTATTCTAGACCGGTTAGGTCTAATCAAGCAAGCCGAGGAAAATGCGGACGAGCCGGAGGAAGAATCCGAAGACCTCCAGTACTTACGATTTCTGTCAACCTCGACTGATAGTAGCGCCACAACAGATCCATCACCCGAACCTGCCACCCCTCCTGAGCCTTCACCAAGTGATTGTAGTCCCGTGCTCGCTTCGCCCAAATGCAGCGACCCGTGGAGATGGGACATGCAGCCAGTTCAGAATATCCACTCAGGGGCGTATCAGAGCTATCAAACACACACAGGTTATCAGACTATGGCATTCCCTCGCCCACATTTGGAACCCATGGCCCTTGCATGCGAACTGAAGTGCACGGATACTGGGCCATCGATGACTGCTCATGAGCAGCCATGTTACTACTATGTTGGTACCGACTCTGGCGCAGAATCCAGCAAGAGCTCCGGGCTGCCGGTCGGCCTAATGCAGCAACAACCTGTAATTAGATCCGGCATGTCCGTGAGCCTGATGGGTGATTATGCCTTGCACGTCCCTGAACAGCACGCTATCTATCCACCTCCTGCGACCAGCTGGTCATATCGTTGTGATTAGCATAGCGGATAATCATAGAACCTGGGCACTCTGTCAAATCCCTGTCCCTCGTACTAGTGTACACCTTTCATCTCGTGATGTAACTGCACAGAGACAGGGTGAAAGCCACTCTGCCCATCATCTATTTCTCAATGACTGTGTCGCTTTGCTTATCTTGAAGATCTCATTTGCAGCATGGTGTTTACGATCACGTTCATATACCCCAAGTCAGTTGTTATTTCTACGACGTGGGATGGCTATATACTCTGACTACAACAGGAATCTCTTTTTTCTTTTTAGAGACTAACAACCAAGCTTTACGGGGCCTTCTACTACACTCCACGTTCCAGTTGTGAAACAGAACCTCGGGGCGAGTTTACTCCTCACCTACACTACCCAATGCTTTTTACTTCCCGCACCGCACACCTGATGTGCCTGATCGAGACGAGGACTAAAGACCCAACATAAGATGCCATCACCAGGAGGTCCAAACAGGCTCAACCTGGCTACAAGGGCAATAGACAGTGCGGGGACCCCTTGGTATCTCGATCAAATCTTGATTCTCAAGATTTCTTCTTCGGAAAGATCTACCCTTACTGGAAACCTGAAACTGTGAGCTTTGCTAGTTGTAGCTACAAGCAACCTACCAAAGAACGGAAAGAAACAGGTACAGGGGTTAGTGCGCAATGGCAGAAATAAAGTACGCCCACAAAAAAAGACAAAAGAAAGCAAAGGAAAGAAGAAGACGACTGTGTGCATGAACATTGAATCCGTATCAGCTATTTTCAAGGACTCGTAAGTACAATCAGCCGGTCAGTAGTCACGTCAGCCTGGAAAGCGGCACAGACTCTGCCCACGCTAAATAGCAAAGAAATAGCTGTTGATCCGGCGATTACCGCCATGGAGTCTCATCAAGTATGACCTCCTTGTCCAGCCCATGTCCCCTTGGAATCAAAACGACCCAAGCCCTCTGAATGCCACTCGAAACAAGACACATAGATGCCAAGGATGATGAACGAAAACCTAGGTATATTCTTTACTCGAAAACATTGAAAATGGTTTAAAAAAAAAAAGAAAAAAAAAAATTGGAAAAGAGGTAAGAAGATCCGTTCCCGAAGCAAGATCAAACCAGGACAAGGGATGGTGAGCAAAGGGGAAGATAATAAAGGAAAAGAAAAGGAGAGCTAAAGGTATCATAAGACTTTCTTTTTTTCTTTTCTTCCTTTCCACGTATAGGTTGGGTTTATATGTTTAACTTTGTTTCCCTTAGGACGGACGGGTGGGAAAACATAGCCTCCCTGCGATTATGACGTTCCCTTTAATGCAAATATGCCCTTCAATCATCATCATCGATATCCGTCTCCGTGTTCGTGTCACTAGTATCGCCTGCATCACCATCGGTATCACTCTCCTCGTCCTCGCTAGACTCCGCCGAAGGCTTCTTGGCCTTCTTCTTGGGGGCTTGGCCGGTCTTTAGGGCTTGCATTTGGCCGGCTATCGAATCTATAATTTTAGAAATCGTTAGGTTCTCACGGTCTTTGATCATTTGTGTAAGAAGGCGTTTGTTAGGGAACTCACCCTCATCAGGCTCACTGATATCATCTTCCTCGTCCAACGCCGCGGCCTTGGCGGGATCGTCGATGTGCAGGGTGATTTCCATCTTCGTGTCGAGGCCCAAATAACTGTCGCAGAGCATGTGCATCACAAAAGTGAAGTCACCGACCTGGGGTGGAGCCTGGAACTGCATCTTGAGGGTCTGCACGTTGAACGTGGGCTTGCCGGTGACGGGGTCGAAGAGGGGCTTGTCAAATGTGGTGAAGGTGAAGGGGGGCACAGCCATCTTGCCCTGTTTGGCGTCGGCCAGGAAGATATGCCAGCGCGGGGAGTGGTCGCGGGCGAGGTAGGGGGCGTGCGCGAGCGGAGGTTGAACGGGTTCGGACTTAGCTTCTTCCACCCTCTGGCCGTTCACCACCTTTGTCTTCTTGCCGTTGCGGCCCATGATAGCGTCGAGGTCATCCTCGTCAGGATCGATGTCTTCGAGGTCGGCGGAAGAAGGGGCGGGGGCGTTGGCGGAACCGGGGGGGATGAAGCGCGCTTTGACGACGAGTTGCACCAGACTGCTCGGCGTGATGACCTTCTCGCCCATCACCTTGAAAAAGGCCCGGGAAACCTCGAGAACGGGGAGTTGTTTGGCAACGTTGATGGCGGTCGTGTATTGCTTCTCAGTCAGGAGGCCGGCGCCTACGGTGAGGCTGTAGCGCTCGGCTTCCGGGATGGACATGAACTTTTGCACGGTGAAGTGTTCCTTGTTGTCGGCACCTTCGATAGTCTGCACGAGTTTCGCCGTGAAGTGCGGCAACTGGAGGAGTGGAGAGGAGCCAGGTGCGACGGCTTGGATGATGTGCTGTGCGGTGCGGAAGGATCCGAGGATTGGTCGGAGATTACCAAAGGCAAGGGCGATGGCCGTGAAAGCTTCGTTCAGTGAAAGGGCGATAGGGGCGGCTTCATATTTTTCTGAGTTGGAATCAGTATGTTGTAAACCCCATGTAGCTGATTGAGGGAGAGTTCTGACTTACCTCCGTTGAGCGTGGCGTCTCCCAGATCAACGCGACCGAGATAGGCCCAGAGTAACGCCAGCGCCTTCCGTCTGCTCGAATCATCGAGTCCCTTGATGACCGCGCGGTCCTCGGGAGTCAGATACGAGGAATCCTCCGCCAGGACCTTCTTCTCAAGCTTCACCAATCCAGCATCGGACCGGGGTCCTTGCAACATCTCCTTAAACTCATCGCCGGAGGACAGCGCATTGATTATTCCGCCATCGGTGATGTCGTCTCTGTATTCCCGGAAGATGTTTCCAGCACTTGCGACGAGAACGCGCTCCTTGGTGTAACGCTGCGAGCCGTACCACCAGCGGCCGACAATGTATGGGAGAAGAACGCCAAGCAGAGCACCATAGACCAGCAGGGTGTACTTGGAGTAGCCTTCCGAGACAATGAACGTGGGAAGAGCAATACCGATGCTCATGCTCTGCTTGCCGTCTGGGTGGCCATACTGAATGTAGTTGTTGCGAACTTCCTCGTCGGTCAATGCCTTGTAGGCCTTGGTGAGCTCGACGAAGCGCTCGTTGAGCATCTCGATGGTCTCATTCTTGGCGGGATCGGGGCGGATCTTGTCGGGGTGGTAGACGAGTGAAAGGCGCTTGTAGTGCCTGGAGATCGCTTTCTCGTCGGCGCTCTGGTAAGAGACAAATAATGCCGGTTAGAACCGTTCGCAGGGATACTCCGTTCGCGAGGGACTCACCCGTGAGATACCAAGAATGTCATACGGATCCCATATCTTAGGTACTGTCCGTGCTGTGACGACGATCAAATATGCCATCCAAGCCATGACAGCGTAGCCCACCACGACTGTGACAATGCGCTTGATCCGACGTTCCTTGCGCAGACGCCTGCGCTTCTGCGCGTCAATGAGGTCGCCATGTTCGGGCTTGAAGTCTGATTTTATCCGCGGTGCGGTGTTCTCCAGTCCTACACAAAATAGCCAATCATCAGTTTCGGGAGATCCCAAGTTGCACCATAGAGGCGATATTATGGTCCGGCACTCACCCTTGCTCGGCCGGAGGAGATTGTACGTCAGAGGGAAAGTGACGAGACTCGTCAGGGTGAGGACGAAAAAGGGGAAGAATTGTCCCTGGCAATACCTGTCAGCTTCTCTTCCAGCCCACAAGCCCGTGGAGATCCTACCTTGTCGTCATAGTTGTAGTCTGTCGACATGGTGCAGTAAATTTACAATGGACACGGTCGCCCGCAGCGGGCAGGACGAGGGACAAAGAGTGCAGCTCCTGGGCTCAAAATATGTGACAGGAAGTTGGATATATGTCCGATAAGGGGAAAAGCTGGGTGGAAAGCAGCACAGATTAGGTCGTTGAGCTGGTGGTCATGATCTCCCTACCAGTCAACGGTGAAGGAGTGTCGTGTGGTGGAAGAGGAAGAAGAAGACCACGACGGAGCATGTCCCGAACGATTAATTATCGTATCGGCGTCGGTCGTGCCTTGTGATCGACCGTGTCCTTTCCAGGGCGGCGGCGGAGCTCACCGCCTACTACTTCCAGCATTCAGGGTCAAGCCTCTTCCCGCTTTTCAGTTAGTTAACTCAAGCCATTTACGGAGTAGCTGAATGACGATGTAGACCAGAATGTGTGCGGGAAGACGTTATTTTTAATGTATCTTGTACTGTACAGAACCTCTCCGAAGGGTCATCGTGTACATCTAAAAAAAAAAAAAAAAAAAAAGGAAACATTCTATCTACCACGGAGTCGATAATGTCAGATCTCCGGTACTGACATAAACAGGCCATACAACAAGCATTTATGTCTGAGCTTTCATTTCATCATAAAAAAACCCCCATTTTTGGATAAAACATCTGTTTTTAGAACGCCAGCTCAAAACACTTTTGTCCAGCTGTCATGTCCTCATTTGTATATCGAGCACCAGGGGCCCCAGCACTGAGGAGAAAAGGCGTGAGAATGGGAGATGTCCTCGCCAAGGCTGTGTAGACGGAGGTGCAGGAATGACCTCCACGCCAGCACCAAGCCAAGCTTGCGAAGGCAGGGAACTCAAGCATCACAATCCAGAGGAGCTGAACCGAGACACGAACTCAACCCACCCACAAACTCGGCAATGCCCGATAGCTAGAAGACATCGCTGCTCTCGACGTCACCAAGTCTTGCGAGGAAATATCTCTATACCAAAGTTCAGATGGCCAGGCCGTTCAGAAGACCAATCCAGATATAATTCCCCTCTTCGGGGAGTCTGATCCTTCATTGCTGCAAGTCATTGGCCTGGATAGTGCCCAGTGAAATCTGGCTTCTCGAAGCCTCTCGGGAGGCTGGTGGGATCGCCGTTGGCTTTCGTCCTGCTGATGTCGTCGAGTTGTAGTGGCTGCAAAGGATGGAACAGCCCGGCCCGAGGATCCAACTTCAATTGAATTTGTTTTCAAGATCCATGCCATGTTGGAGATGCCCGTTGGGATATTTTTCTTCATACTTTTCTTTTTTACTTTCCACCGTCTGACTGACACTTTTGTGAATCGTTGAGTTTTCAAAAAGGGCCGACGATTTCCGAATATTTATGCGCGTCATCCAGGTAGTGCGTTCAGAGACTGGGGACTAAGAAGTAGCGAGTCAGCTTCGATGTTCTATTGATGAATTGAAAAAGAGCCAGGAGAAGAAGACAACTCACCAGTCGATGTAATCAAGCCCACCGAAATACTCCAGCATCCGATAGCAAAGGCCCACGTCGTCACCGGGTTCACCACCAAAAAGTCGACACTGCTCCGCCTCTATGTGGGAGGTTTCCAGCCTCATCGTGCGATGTCGAGTCTGCCATATGAAATCCCCATGGTGCCAGGTTGGGGCAGGAATTTCATGGTAGTCGAAAGCCGAAGGTAGGACTGAATTGAGAGGTCGGGAGATAGCTTCGATGAGGTTAAGGCGATTGTTGTTGTTGGTTATGCTGCTGCTGCGGTTTCGAGAGCGCGGACGAGTGCGACGCCTGTTGTGCCTCTGGCCCATTCTCTAACAGTTCGCCTATATTTTTTCCGCAGTTGGAGGAGGTCGATTATGTTGAAGGTATTCGATTGTTTTGCAGATCAAACCGGGGAGGCTTAAATAGACAAACAACCACCCACCACAAAACAGTCGAGAACTGTTTCCGGGATATCTTTTGATTTATCAAACGGTAAGGAAAGGAGTGACCATCATCCCCGAGAAGGATGAGATGAGGTGAAGAGGGAGGAGAGGGGGGAGATCAGGAGATCGAAGGTTGCGGAGCTACTGTATATATACTTCTAGTGGTAGTATGACTCCGGCTGGCTTTGCCGAAGGAATGTTGGGCGGTGGTGTGACTCACTAAACACTTAAGGTTACAGAGGTACTCAGTACCTCTAAAAAAGAAAAAGAAAAAAAAAAAAAAAACCTAACCAGGCAAAGAAAATCTTCACATCCGGCTTCGGGACCCACAATGTCTTCTGCCCCCTAGTCAAACAACTCCACACTGATGCAGACGTTATTGCCAAAATCTAGAATGCTAGGAATGGTGAAATTTGATCTAATGTTCACCCTGGATTGCGTAGTTCTGGTGGCTCCCTTTCCAAGGGTTGACTCCGCAGAGTTAGGGCTCATTGTTACAAATTTCCCTCTCTTTGAACTCCTGAGTCCTGAGTCACCTCATCAGGACCCCATCTGAGGTCTTAGGCCAAGTCAACTATTCTTTTTGTGCTGCTGAGGTGCTAGACTATTCTATTTTGGTCTTCTTTTTTGAGTTTCAACAAAGACTGAATTTTTCCCACTTCATTCTCGGCCTGACTTGACTTGAATGCCTGACAGACCTGCAAAACTACTAACCAACTACCCAATTGAGGGGGGGTCTTCCCAGCCATGTCAAAGAGAACCACAACTCATGAAAGGATATCCTGTTTGTAGTAATTACTGTATAAAGGCAACGTTGAAACCAGGCAACCAGGGACATGGTAGCAAACCAGAAGAAATAAACGCAACCAAAATAAACGCAAAGCGTAAGTAGGCCAATGGAAGGGTGGGCTGACGCCATGCAGGCGGGATCCTCAAGCATTTCGGATTCGGACCAGGGAAGGAAGAGCAAACCACGCTTTCTCTCACTCTCTCTTTCTCAGAAGTCTGCCTCTCCATGGAGGCTCTGACAATACCGTACGCCCGTCATCGTACACGCCCCTGTACCCTAACCTCCAGTGGCAATCAAGTGGAAACGATGCCGTAACGGGCCGAGCGGGTGATGAGATTTTGTGTGACGCATGGTGCAAGATTGCTCAATTGTCAGGCCCTCAGAACTCACTCAGGTTGACAACATCCAACCACGGCAGGTTCGGCATGCATCGAGACTACGGGCGATATCGGGCTCGGGGCTTACTGTCCTGGGTCCGCGTCCGCGCCCTTTGTTCGTACACTATGTATGTACTGTAGGCACTAGGCATCCCTTCTTTTCCCGTTTCATAGTACGAGGTGTGGTCTAGGATGTCGATTTGTGGGTTGCCGAAAGGCCGCCGAGAGCCTTAGAGCTCATAAGGTCCTTGGATCCTTTGTTGTTTCGGGATTGACGGCGCTTGGGTTGTCTTTGTGGATACTCGTGAGTTGGAATCTCATCACCTCCGTCGGAGTTGGAGAAGACTCAATCCTCTGTGACTTTTGAGGTTATTATTGCCCAATGTAGCTTCCGTATTGTGCGATTGGGCGGCCGCGGGCGGGAAAAACTCTATAGTAGGTGGGTTATGCTGTGCTTGGGTTGAAATGGTCGGTTTGAGGTGTGCTGAATGCAGTTTTGTTTGGATAGTCTGGGATATGCTCCCGCAGGCAGAATTAGATATGCAGCGTGTACTCCGTACTCATATGTATGTACTGTGCTTATTGAACGTGCTACCTTGGCGCAAGCAAGTACCGTATGCACTGTACATTTACCGGTAGTATCTTGATATTCACATTATGAGAAAAGTGCTAGGTAAGCGAATAAATTCTGGGCAATGTAATTAATTCGATTTTCTCTCCACTTTCTCCATACGGATATTACAGTAGATATGCTTCCTACAACTCAACATCGTTAAGCCATCAAGGCCAGCTCGCAACAATTCATGTTACTCACTTCTGTGCACAACCACTTGACTTTCTTGTCTGTTCAATTCGCAGGCTGAGGCATAATTCACTCAAGCATCCGAAGTTACTCCGTCTGCAGCAAGCATGCAGTCTGCAGACGCCTTCCTGCTCGTCTCAGCGACTCACAACATGCAAGCACCTTGAAAGATATAGACCATAATGATGCACTCCGTAGTCTGCTGCTCCATAACTCACTCCCCACGCCTGTTCCATGCTTTCAGTTCAAACCCCACTCAAGCCATGAAGTCGACACCACGTAGGCAGAACGAGGCATAAACAATACTCACGGAGTGCCTTTGCGAGACAGCAGGCAAAGAAAAGGGGGGGAGGGGGAAGAAAAAATCTGTCGTGTCGTGGCCAAATGCCACCATGACACATGTTCAACCGCTCGTAGCCGAGAAGGACCCTGTCCTAGACAGCCCTACAGAAGTTCCTACATGCGCTACGGAAGGAGTGTGTGTATATATGATGGTGGGAAAATGTGAGTTGTCTCTTTCCACTTTCTGTATTTCATTTTGTCGTTCGGGTTCTAATCAGCATAGTTTGGAATTTATGCAAATGCCTGAAGCTACCGGTAATTTACAGTACATTTGTTTAAATCCTGGTTATAATCTTGTTTGTAGTATGAGCATGGGGTCAATCATATTGCCTTACTCAAGTTTGCTGCAACTCTGCAACCACATGCCAAAAGCAAATAATAGGGAGTTTGCTCTGTCTCATCCTTTCATGACGCCAGTTGTGAAGATGCTTTTGTAGTCATCGCATTCTCTTGAATCAGATCACAGAGGGCTAGTAGCTTTTCCAATCCTGAAACCTAGGCCGATAGCCTTTAGACAATGAAATAGGGTCTCTGCCTCGAAAAGGAGGTTATAGATGACATATCCCGACAGATGTGGTATCATCTCGCCAAACCCTACTACTCGAACAGATGTAACCCGTCATTTCGTCAAACCTTTAGCAAATAACAATGCAAGTAGCCCAAATCGGATCATACCAATACGTAGTACGGCTGCTAAAATGCGAACCCCCTTTTTTCCTTGGGGCGGCTACGTAGTAGCAGCTTGCTAGCCCAGCTGCAGCCTGCAATCCCACCGTTGAGACATGGGGAGTGGGATTTTTTTTTTTCATTTCCCGTTGTCGTAGTACAGTGTGTCCGGTCTCGCAAGGTAGACATAGTAGATTGGATAGTCGAGCATGTAATTGTGTGTGGTTTGTGCCTGGACTTGTTGTGGAGTGGAGACGGAAGCGGGCTCGGAAAGATCGTGAAGGCTCTAGTGCTGTCTGGACTCTGGAGTCCTCGGGTTTTGTGTGCCCGGGGCCCGGAAAAAAGAAGGGGGCATGGTTATCCGCGGCGCTGCAGGTTTCGGTCTAGATTGGAATCAATTGACCGGGGGCCATGGACTGACTGGGTCATTCTCCGCCAGGGTGGGTTTGCTGTGGGATCAATCAGTAGGATCATTAATTCATTGTTGATGGACTCCATAGAGTGACCGAGCTAACATGCGCATCAGGGGACTTTTTGTGCCGCTGGTGCTTACGCTGCCGCTGAAGACAGTTCGGCCATATTAGGTACAGTATATATCCCGTCAACTACGATAAGTACTGTGCAGAGTACGATTTGAAGGTTCGATCTCTGAGATACGCTGGGTGAAGTGCCTGCTGTGAAGGTTATAGATTTCTTTTCAATATTTGTATAGCCTGAAAAGTAGGGTTATGATAGTCACAGGAAGAAAGAAGCCCACAGAGTCTTTGAAGCACTACTCACGTTTCGCCTCCATCAATGATGATGTCTCTGACTGAATTAGTAACGATCCACACACGCTAAACGGTCTAGACAGTCGAAGGGCCTGTGAAACACGGACTGGATTCCGCCAAGCAACCCGGGATACAAAGCTGTCTACTACTCATGTAGTGTACTGAGGAGAAAGCAGTCAAGATACAACTGACTGATGGCTCCCCCGGCTATTGTCGATCCCGCGACGGATGATCTCCAGCATCTCCTTCCCCTTTGGCGCTGTCGTCAGATTCTCGTATCCCGTCCCCGTCACTAGGATGTCGTCCTCGATCCGCACTCCACCGACTGGGATGTACTTCACCGCTTCGACGAAGTTGATGTGTCGGGCGAGCGGTTGCTTCTGAGCATTGGCCAGCGCCAATTGAGAGAAGTAGATGCCGGGCTCGACCGTCACCACCATACCTTCCTCTAACACTGGAAACGAAAGGCTAGTGGGCGGCACCAGGTCGCGTCTTGCCCGCTGACCCTGGGCCGTGATTGGCCTCTCCGAGACGTCGTGGACTTCCAGTCCGACGTGGTGTCCCAGTCCGTGAGGGAAGAAAACTGCCGACGCCCCTGACTCACGGATCTCCTCTACAGGTCCAGGCTTGAGTACGCCCAGTGCTTGTAACCCTTGAATGGCAATGTTGTGTGCCAGGAGCTGTAAGTCTCGAAATCGTACCCCCTGTTTGATGCGCCGGATACATTCCTCTTGCATCTCCTCTACAATTTGATAAACGTCGCGAGCATACTCACTGGGCCACTCCGCGCCCAGGGGAAACGTCCGAGTGACATCGCTCGCATAGCACTCCCACTCCGCCCCCGCATCTAAACAGACCAGCTGTCGACCTTTCAGAGGCTCATTGTTTTTGATGTAGTGGAGGGTCGCGGCGTTGGGACCCGAGCCAGCAATAATCTCGTACGCTTGGTTCTTCGCGCCGTGAGACACACATGTGGCCAGAAATAGTCCTTCGATCTGTGTTTCGTTGGTCATCTTGTGGATCTTCTCCAGCACCTTCCGATGAGCCAGGCCAGAAATGATGTTTGCCTGGCGAATTAGTTGGATTTCATGGCTGTCTTTGATGACTCGAGCCGCATCCATCGCAGGAAGCAGGTGCTCGTGGTCTATCTGGAGCTTGGTGGCTGGTATTTCGGGTTGCTGAGACGTATGAAGAACATACACGGGCGCGGTGTCGTTGTACCCTTGGGCCCAGGACGCGATATCATTGTCTAGGGAGGTATGGTAGCGAACTCGGTCTACATCAAACCGCCGTTGAGCCTCGTCGACGGTCAGCGTGGGCCCCATCCAGATCGCCCGATGCAAATCGAAGTCGGGAACATAGAGAACCAACAGGTCTTTCTTGATATCGTAGGTCAGAAAGCAATCGGGTTCATCCACGCCGCTGAGGTAGTAGAAGTAGCGTCTTTGTCGGAAGGTCTGCGGTTGATCCGAATCGCCCCAATTGATTGTTGGTGTGCCGGCAAGATAGATAAGGCCGCTACAAACCCCCAATTTCATCGCGACCCTGCGCGCATGCTGCTTGGCTGTGCAAATTGTCTGTCAGCGTTGAACAAATATCCAACCAAGTGTTTCTATCGAAGAAAGGGAGGGGCAGAGCAAACCGACAATTAACATGCAAGCATACCTGGATATTTATCGAATTCATGGCCCTTGACGGACCAGCGAACATTGCAGACCTTCAGATCGGAGACAAGATCCGGATGAGCTGAGACACGCATTGCTTGGAAATTCAGGCGCTAACCAAGACGTGAGGACTAAATCAATGTGTAGAGCGCAGGAGGGGATGGCCCGGAAGTAGGAGGATTCCACGCAGGAGGAAGGGAACAAAGCACAACGATGAGACTAGGAAGAGAGGGTAACGAAGGAGGTGAGAAGATCAAGCGTGGAGATAAGCGCCTGGCATTTGATTGTGTTTTGGAACGCGGGTCCCCTGAAGGGAGGGAGGGAGTCAGTTAACGTTCCAGTTAGTTAGTTCATAGTCTAGTCCGTACGCGCCAGACGGAGCCGATACGCGATCCCTACCCGCAATGGGGTAAGAGTGACTGCGGGCGATCCCGTATCTGTTCCGTATCTTACCAGTCCCGTACCAGCGATAACAATGAGGATGTCATCATCATTTTTCCTCATGTGGTCGCGGCCTTGCATTGCATTGGAGGGAGAGAGAAAACAGGCAAGTACTCCGTACTGTGCAAGATAAAGATTGATCCAGGAACGAGGGGTCAAATTGTCCCAGTTCTGTACCTTATGACTAGAATTCTGTTTAAATGGGACATTCAGCCAGCCAGCCAGCCAACCAACAAACACATGCACTCCCTCTCTGTCTTAGACCCTTAGCGAGGGCCTGGAATGGTTGCTGATAAAAAAAGTGGCTTGATACGCCGTCATCCGAACGCATCGCCCGGAAGCGTCGCTGCCTTTTGCCCCCCTCCCCACATGCGCCTCTCGGGCTCTCACTTTGGCTCTCACTCAACTTTCACTCTCTCTTCCTACTCTTCTGCCTACTTTCTCGTTGAAATTTCGGGCTTCATCATCTCATAATCTAATCTCTTCTCCCGTCTCCTCCGTCATTCACCTCACCTCGTCCCTCATTGTGATATTGTTTATCTTTTAGTGTTCCCAAGTCACCGTTCGTTTGGTTGAATCCTGGTCCAACCCGTCCCTTCTCATTACCTATCGTATAATCGGCCAGCCTGAGACATCGAGCCAGTCAATGAACGATGCGGGCATATGAGGCAGCGGCTGCCTCTGGCTATAATATTCCTTCGACTTTAGTCAACCACTTTCCAGCCACCATTGCTCATCCGCCGACTGATCCTCACCTAGCGGCATCGAATTCCGATCATGATCGAGTTCTGTCGGCAATGCCCCAAGACAATAGCGGTCTGGTTGGCATCAGTGGCAACTCCTCCGGTTCGACCGGGAAGGGCATTCTGATTGGCGTCCTGTCCGCTTTTGGCTCAGCAGCCGTTGCAGTCCTTGTTCTCGCGGTCTTCTTTTTCTTCAAGTACACTCAGCGCGGTAGGATCATACTCGATCGCATCGGCCGACCCGGTGAGTTCGACGATGAACAGGCGTTCTTGCGCGAGGAAGCGGAGGCTCTGGAAACCATGGATGATTTGTCGCGGTCGGAATACTTGCGAGCAAAAGGTGAGTTTACTCTTCTCCGTCGCTCGATGCGGTCGCCACCAGTCGCAAAACCTGTAGCCTGTCTCGCGCGCATTCGTGGCATGCTAATTTGCTCGGTAGCGTTTATCGAGGCCAACCCACCCGAGTCTATGCAAACCGACATCTCGCTGTCTCAGTTCCTCGCGATCCAAGAAAAAGGAGTATCGGCCTGGGAGTTTCAACCCGAACTAGAGATCGCCAACTGCTTTGTCGAGGGTAGGACTGAGATTGAGTTCTATGATTCAGAATGCAGTGTCCAGACCAACCTGCCGGTTCCGAAACAGAATGACGTATATTACTGGGAGGCTAAGATCTATGATAAGCCGGAGAACACCCTCATCAGTATTGGCATGACCACGAAACCGTACCCTCTGTTCAAATTACCAGGTACGTCCCAAGGGTCATAAATGGGTGATTCACCCTACTAACTCACTACCTACCTGACAGGGTATCACAAATCCTCGGTCGCATATCAGTCAACAGGTCACAGGAGATACAATCAGCCTTTCGCTCCAACGCCTTATGGTCCCCCGCTTCTCCAAGGCGACGTTATTGGTGTCGGGTATCGACCGCGCTCAGGCACGATCTTCTTCACTCGCAACGGCAAGAAGCTAGAAGATGTGGCGCACGGACAAAAATCCCAAAACTTCTTCCCGACGGTTGGGGCCAACGGACCCTGCACCGTGCATGTGAACTTTGGCCAGATGGGTTTCGTTTTTATTGAAGCGAATGTCAAAAAATGGGGTCTAGCTCCGATGACCGGCAGCCTGGCGCCGCCGCCTCCTTATGGGAGCGAACAGGGCAGCATCCTTCTCGAATCTGGGCGAGAAAGTGCTGCGCAGATATCACAGCGAGTATACCAAGACGCCAATAATGCACGAACCAGCTCTACCCTCAGGTTCGGTCCATCCGTTAGCCCGGGTCCCGTGCGTTCTCCGACCGATATCTCTCTCGCCCAACTCGCTCACATACCCTCCCACGAAGATGTTGGTGAAGGCTCAAGTCGTACCAATGCTGGAGACACTGAGCAGGCACCCTTGTTGAACACGGACGATCTCGATCAGGTTCCACCTCCGGAGTACTCGAGCCCAGATGGCAGCCGAAGAGGTGGCGATGATATCCCTTTCGAGGATCAGCCTCCGATACCAAGCTACGATGCTGCGGTCGGCAACCCTAATGATCACGATCCTTACACGGATGAAGGTCATTGAGGGTGCTCTTCCTTTCGTTCTGTGATGTTCGTCCATATGTTCCGGGTGTGTATAGGGTGTGGTAGCCATGGAATCTGTCGGTATATTTATTCTGTTCATCTATTTTTAGCGGCCACGGCGGGCGTTTTTTCTCAAGGCGAACTGTTTTTCAGGCTGGGTTTCATGGGTTCGCCGCTAGATGTGGCAATGATGTTCTGGCTTTCCTTTGCGTATATACGGTTCGGTCACGGTGTTGTTCGTTTGCGATTTGGCTTTGGGAGTCATCATCTCTCACGGACTCTCAGGCGCAAAGCTGTGACTTCCGTTTCTGCGCGGCGTACGACGACTTCTTTTCCTCTTGGACTTCAGCGTGTCCAATGCGACAGTGTTGATGATGATATCCCCAAATTATCTTTCTTTTTCTTTTTCCTTTTCTTCTCACTTACTGGTGTTTGCACAGTACAAAATCCATCATTCACCTGATGCTATTCTTGAGCACTTGGGTGTTCTTCTGTAAGGCATGCCTTGGCCTGTCGCTGGGCTTTCTAATTCGCACGTGGGTTCTTTTATAGCAACCGACCTAAGCGCTTGTGTGAATCATAAATATCGACGCCATTAGCCACGTCCCATGCTATTGAGAACCCCTCTTGGCTTTTGATCCACAAGTGGACCAGCGCTTCACTTGAAAATAACATCCATGATGTTTGGGACGAAGCGAAGGCCGGATTGAGATTGTTGAGAAAGGAAAAGCATGCGCCAGCCGCTTATTTTGATAGTGTCAAATCCTTGCTGCAAGGAGATTTCAACTTAATGGTCAGACCTGTCAAGTCAATGGCACGGTGAGAATTGAATCAACGATGTGTATGAGCAATCTGGGGTAAATTAAATGACTAAAGGAGATAATAGAGAAGGAGATCAGAAGGGTGATGTAGACAGTGAGTGGTTCGTGGGGTTAAACTAATGGAGTCTAGAATCGAACCTTGAAGTTAGCTTTACTTACTCAGTTAACCTGCCCAGTAACTTCCCCAGTAACTTGAGTTACCCACCCGGGTGGAAATCACTCTTTCTCACAGGGCTCTTTTCTTTTTCTTTCTTGCTGCCCCCCCTCCCCCTTTAAGTTTGAGGCTGTTGATTTTCTTCTTTCCAGATTGTTATATCTGTTGGTTCAACCTTTCCTTCCGCTGTGTTTCATTGAGCGTAAGAGGAAATAAGAGCAGCGGAGGCTAACTTACTCATACTATCAACTTATCGTCTCACGTCATTACCCGCCAGCCAGCCTTCAATTGATAATTGATTGCGTTGTACTCCGTACAGTATCTGTACCTACCTTTTCTTTTTTACCTCAACTTGTCCTCCAACAACAAGTCACTCCCTCCTACTACCTTTCCTTTTGGCTGATTTCTTTTTAAAATTCTTGACATTCATGATCGCGTCGCTCCTCTTGACACGTGAAGGCAGTCAACTGGTACAAGTTTGCCCTCCAAACGAGGGGCGCATTGCGAAATCCTCGTCCAGCTGCTAAGTTATCGTCGGCGTCATCGGGTGCTCGATCCGTATTTCCCCCTCCCCACAGGTCCTCCGTCTCTCTTCCTCTCTTAACTCACCACCCCAGTTGATATCTAATAAGTGATCGACCCTATCATACGCATGTATCGCAAACCTACTTCTGCTTCTCTCGTGTCTCCGTCCCCCGGCGGCTTCCCTGATACAGTGCCCGACTTCAAAGGCACTACTTTACGAGGCTTTTTGATCGCCAACGCTCCTCCGCCCACTTGTCAGCCACCAAATCACTGGGGCCCTTAGGGTGCGCATTAGCGTCTTGCTCCCAACCATTGGGGTGTGACAGAGCTGTGCCCCAGATTCGTGGGGTAGCACCGCCGGGACCCTCTCAAATCTCTCGCTGACTGTCACTTCAACTGGAGGAGGACAACCAGTTGGGTCTACCGTTTCTTTCCTCCGTTTCCTTGTCCTGGTGACACAGCTTCGAGCAAGGAACCTGTTACCTGCTCGCGACAACCGCCGGAAGGTCAAATCAAGGAGGGCGGCGCTTCTTGTACCGTAACAAATCATTCTGCGACCAACCGCTCTGTCGCGGAGAGTCTACGGTCACATCACACGCTTCTCACTGGAACTATCTTGAATATCGTTGAACCTCTACAGGCTAAGATACTTTTCGATTTGCCAGAGAACGCTTTGGGCGCAGATTAGACTCCAGCAGAGACTGACGCGTAGGTCGCAACCACCAGCGTCATAAATCCCATTAGGACGTGTTTCCGTGCAGGAGGCCGGGCATTTGGAAGGGGCGAAGAAACTACTTGACTAGGAACGGGAGAAGTGTGAGTCAAAAGCCTGCCTTACGTGCT